ACACAGCTATTTTTGTTATTTTCATCCAATCGGTGAGTTTCCTGCTCCGATAGCAATCTGACATCAAGAGACGGTCTGGTCGTGCAACATATTCAGTCAGTATCTCAGGTTCTACAAATTTATTGCCCAATCAGAACGCGAGGTTAAAGTGTGGCGCTTTTTGTCTAATATTATAATTTTAGCATAGTTAGGTCGAGTCAAAAAAGTAGGTGCGAGCGACACGAATCGTGTTGATCAATTTGGTAAAAAGGTTTCTACATTATTAAGTAAAAATATATTTCCAAAGTAAATTATTACAATATTAACGAGCGTTTACGTAAAATTGTAAAAAACAGATTGTGAGTTGAAGTTTGATCTGCCACCTTCGAGTCCCTCGGGGGAAATCGCACACTCCCTCTCTAGTGCCTACCATTCGTAGTTTCATCACCAGACCAAGATGCACGTTGTGCGACCGAAACCAAAGGCAGGACGCCCTCAAAGCTCCCTCAGTGAGCACTTTACGCGTACGAACGAAATGGCAAATTCTTCGCTGTACTGGACTGTATGCAATCTGTGTCTTGCAGAGTACACTGAGCGCCTTGGACCTACACCGGAACGCATACGTGGGCGCAAGGACTATTGGCTAAAGCATCTGGGTCAGTGTCCGCTCTACGATGGTGAATTAGCAGAGGGCAGGCGTGGAGATGATGGCGTGGACGCAATGCCAAACAAAAAGCTTAAACAACGTGAATATTTTACGGCAGCAGAACGACAGACACTATGGAGACTGATTTTGGAGTTTCAAGCGGAGGCTTTGCTCGCGGACTCCTTTATCGAGCTGCCTTCCGCTCGCAGGCTCTTTAAGTGGCTAAATGCAAAGTGTGAGGGTGCGTTGCCTCGTCGACAAGTTTTGGGCTCCACAATCCTAGATAAGTATGCGGCACTCTATGACGGACAGCAATGCAATGAGCTGGCTGCCGTTCAGCAAGTTTCGAGTGGACGTGTAAACTTTCTTTCGGATATTTGGCAAAATATTGCGAAACAACACCTTTTGGGTTGTCAACTTTCGTTATATGGAGTTGTTATGACTTATGCACTTTTACCTACTGGATCGGAGCACCACGCTATAGCACTGGCTCGACAAATGGAAGATGTTTTGGTGGAAATGCAAGAAAGAGGCTGGAACGTCGGTGCAATTGTTACGGATAACGCAGGACAGTGCGGTCGAGCAAGAAGAATTTTGGCACTGCGATGGCCACAAATTTGTTTTCTGCGTTGTTTTGCACACGATATTAATAATATCGTCAAAACAGTTTTAAAGCGCGTATTTAAGACTGTGTCGGAGCAAGCAGCAGCGGTTGTTAATGTTTTAAATTCTTCGTCCGAGAAGTGGCTTGTTCGAGCCAGCAAATTCATGACATTGCGCTATGGAAGAGATCCGGCCCCAGCATTGTGTCCATTGTGCATCACTCGGTGGAACTCGATGCAAAAGTGTTTCGCGTCATTATTACGTGTGAGGATAGCGTTAGAGGATTTTGCGTACTCCTACCGAAGTGACCCTGAATTCCCGGACAAGCTTCGCGTACTAGGCAAGCAGCAATTTTGGAGTGATTTAGAGGCAGCAGAAAAGGTGATTCGCCCCCTATCTTTGACAGCGCCATTTTTTGCGCTTTTAGCGTGAAGGTATCCGATATGCTTGAGCAATCAGCAGTTTGAGTTCCTGGATTCATGCGTGTACCGTATCCGTGTCACGTCTACAGTGTAGACAACACGAGGATGACACAACTACGCTATGTTTCCGGTGATAGTGACGAGCAGTGTTCGATTTCCAGACGACAATCACGTCTACTGCAGCTGCTGCTGCAACAGGCAATAGAAATTCGACTGGTGCGATGCTCTCGCCCCGTTTATACGAAAATGGCAGTCTGCTAGCTCTGATCCTTCTCTAATGCAAGAAACATTCATCAGAGAAGAGGACGAAGATGATAACGTAGAACGCGAAGGTAATGCAGGTGAGGAGACGGAAAGCGCTGCTGGTGATCAAATCAAAGGGAACTAGGCTGGACACGAAGAGCAGGCCAATCATAACAACCGACAAAAGATGCTGTGGTCTGGTGGTGATATCGACATGGCTGCAAGCGAACGCGGCGGCATTCCGGTAATGCCCATGAGGCTGAAGCGAGTGGTGACGAGGTGTCCGGGGCGAACGACCTTGATCATCAACTTCAGCGTGACTTGAAGAGAGAGGAAGAAAAGATACTTTAAGGTCAGCCCGATACTATAGACGAGGAAGAGGAAGATGACAAGAGAACGCGCCTCTGTTTTTCACGTAACGCGACGAGTAGCGATCAAAAGGAAAAAAACTATGAAGCTCGACTCGAGGTACCCATTTTTAGAAATAGGGCTATGTGATGAACCCAAATGCATTTTGCGTTTTTATACTTTAAGTAACGGACGCGCCCTATTAGAGTCCGGACTATATTTAATAGTGCCGCCCGAAAGTGACAGAGAGGCCTTTAAACGGGTAGGGACTTTATTCCTTGCTGAAATGATTCGTGTACCAGGTTAATATCGTCTAACGCATCATCTAACTCTGAAAGATTTAACAGATCGACGTCTTCGTTCATATGCGGTTCCTTCGACCACTTTTCACGAAATTTTGCGCCTTACACATCGTGCTTGGATATAAACCACGACGAGGGGTCTCTCGAGAAGCCTGCTATTTCAACGCTCCGCATGATTATTGCCTCATCCGTGTCTCGCCACGCGCGGAGGCCCCAATCGCAAACGGTGTCAGCACTTGGCATACGTGGGTTACCAAAGCGAGTGTATTCGACTCGGTCTGACTCTTTCCAAGCGTTAATTTCCATGTACAGTAGGTCCTTGAAACGATATCTTTAATCCACTTGATCACCTCTTGCTTACGCCCAATGCTAACTGACTGCCTTTGATGAGGCATTATTGGGAATGACGGGAAACTGTAGAATGGATGGTCAGCAAGTTTGTAATAGCAGATTTGGTAGTTTTTGTAAGGACTCTATTCTATTTAATAGTGCAGGCATGTAGCACCCCACAGGATACTATTCGGTAGGGGGCTTTTATTCGGGCGCATCCGTTACATCGCAGCTGGATCGTCTTTTGGGTACATCAAATAGCCCTATTTCTAAATTTGTGTGCTCGAGCATAGTTTTCCCGAAAATTGTCTCTAATAACATGTCACTAAATCATTTTTGTTCTATCTAGCCCTTTCTTAAAACAATTCTTTTTTAAGAAAGTAGTTATTATTTGAGCAAATGAAGCAGCTGCTCGCAGTGTATCATAGCCTGTGGAAAATATCGATGCCACTCGTGTCCTGGTATGTGCGTCGGAAGGACCTGCAACGGCTGGTACCTCGCGCCGTCACCGACGAGCGCTTCGGTCACAGTGAGCCTCCAGGTTAAAGCCTGCCTGAACAGCTGTGGACTGACACAATACTGACACTCGCTACATTGTCTTTCTATCGCAGTCCATTGGTACACTGGCCAGGAGCTCGCCAACTACAAAGATAACTGCATCACAGTGTGGATCCATGGCGCTTCAGTGGGGGAGTGTTTGTCGGCGTTGCCGCTCGTGAAATTGGCGCTGAGTGACAAACTGGACCAAGCGTTGGCATCGTCGACCGGCAGAGAGAAGAATAAAGTTCGAGTGGTTCTATCAACGACTACAACTGCAGCGCACCAAGTTGTTACGCATCGGTTGAAAGACGTGAGTTGCTATTGATGTGTTTGCTCATCTGGGACAGCCACATTTGATGATAACTTCGTACTTGTCAAATTTGGAATAATAACAGCATGAAAACGCCGTCTGCGTCTTGGCCCCACTCGATCACCAGCAGTGCGTTCAGCGATTTTATGATGCCTGGCAACCTGAGTATGCTTGACGACTTAATCTCTTCCACGAGACTGTTCCGTGTTAATGCTAAGGCTTCTTTTTTGGGATCTTGCAGTGTGGGAATCTGGATCGAGTCAGAGATTTGGCCGACACTGATCACTGAAGCTGCTCGAAGAGGTATTCGCATTGGTCTTCTCAACGGCCGGATGTCTTCTCAGTCGTTCCGTTTTTGGCGATTGCCGGGGCTTAATGAGTCTTCGAAGAGTATCGTTGGTTTATTCTCACTGGTACTTTGTCAAGACGAGCAGGTAAGCACTCGTCCTGAACGCTATTGCTTCCACTGACCTGACAATTTTTTAATCTGCAGAATCGAAAACGATTTGAACACCTTGGTGCACAAAATGCTCACTCCGCGCTAAATCTTAAGTTCGGTACGACTTCTTGTCTCTAGCAACAGTCGGGTAACGTAAATTCTTGGCTGATATTGGCTACTTTTAGCATCTCCGCGTGTGATCAGTAATGATACGGAAGTTTCCGCATTGCGACGCGTAATTGGGTCTCGACCAGCATGGGTTGCAGCAAGTACGCACGATGGCGAGGAAGTCATGATGGTTCAAGTGCACGAAGAACTGCTCAAGCGTCTCCAACATGATCAACATGAGAAAAAAGTGCTCACGATAATCATTCCGCGCCATCCGATTCGGACGTTGATCATTGTGAAACAAATCCATCGACAGGTAAATGCTTGCACAGACTACTCTAACCCTTTCGTTAACGACGATGTTTTTGCAGTTTCCTGGACTGATAGCTGGCTTACGCTCTCGTGATGGCTTGCCAACAGATGCTACAGACATATTTATTGTCGACGCAATGGTAATGTGAGCTCTGGCTTCGCGTTTGGGTGTGAAATCTGGATAGCTCACGTTTCGTTTGCACCTTTTCTTTAGGGCGAAACAAATTTGTTTTACGACACCGTTTCAACTGCAGTGATTGGAGGTGAGTGAGCCCTGCACATTGACTCGTTGTTTTGATCTCCTCTGACTGACGAGTCTTTTTCTTTAGGCTCGTTCGTCAAGCGCGGTGGGCACAACCCCATCGAGCCTTTGCGCGCAGGGTATGTGCAAACTTTGCGTTGATCTGTAGCGTTTCTTCATTACTACTTCGATGTACAGTTAGTATACTGACTCATTCATGCGTTTGCGCTTTTCAATAGCTGCCACGTTTTCATTGGTCCTCACATGGAAAATTTTGAGGGCGTTCTTCAGCAGCTCAGCTTTCATTCCCCAGCATCCGATGCTCTTAGATCCATTAATGGACCAAAAGAGCTGGTTGCTGCGCTGGAATCTCGTCTTCAAGAAAGTTCCTGTGATACTCCCACGTTAGGACCAGCGGCTGGTCCAGCCAGCCACAGAACCCAGCTAACACGGGTGATGGCAGACCTTGCGATATCGACGATTTCCATGCACGAGCAACGACTGATCAACTGGTTATCAAGTGCCAAGTAAAAACACCCCTTAACCCTAATCAGAATATGTCCTGGACAAAAATGAGGTTTGATGTGGCACACTGCCGGTGTAGATACGCTTAGAAACAATCGAGGATCTTGCCCGATATTTATGAGGGAAAAGGGGGCAAACTCAAAAATAGGGGGCAGGGGTGGGGGACCCATTTTTACCATTTTCTTTAGAAATCGGCAAAAATCAGCAAATTTCAAATTTCTGTGAAAAATGGGAGCATCTGAATTTATTTTTCTCCCACATTTTGTAAGAAGCTAAGTATGCAAAAGTATTTTGCATAATAATTAAGTATTGAAAAGCAAAAATAAATTTTCCTTACCAGAGTACAATAGCTATTTTATTGATTTATTTTTTACAACCTCTGCTCACCATACCATCCTTTGGCAATATAGATCGGTGGTAACATTGGAATAGTTGCGATTTAGACTGTCTAGTAGTGCCTCGACTGTCAGCTGCACTACCACGCTTACGACGCCTTCGCTGGAAATACTATTCTTCCACGTGAGAAAGCTACTAAAAATAGATTTAGATATTCAGTAACTTTACCCGAAAGTGCGCAGGAAAACATCGGTATGTTTTTAATACCCTTGATTGTGCTGGCTTTACCAATTTAATATACCAGAGAGCACCTCACAAATGGAAAATAACATGCTCCGAGGACTTAAGAAAACAAGAGAAGAAAATAGATGTAACGGGCCCGAATTAACCACACTTATTGCAGGCCTTTTTGGACACGCATCAACAAGTTCTCAATTTTAATCGCAGCTAGCACGGGGCTACATCTAACTCACATCCATAGCGCTATTATTAATAATAGGAAGGCTAAAACTTAATAGAAGATAATAGAACCAATCAGATTGCGGGAAGCCTCATTTGCTAAAATTATTTATTTTAAAGCGAATTATTGAAATCGAGTGAATATTAAATATAAGAAACCGAGCTCAATAACTTTTATTGAGTTCGGTTTTTATTTATAGATACATGTATTTTAATAATAACATTAAAATAATAAAAGTATGTAAGCTGGACTGGATAGAAAAGCCAAGGAATTAGAGCATAACATCCTGTTTTTACCTGTTGCAAGCGTGGTTACCACGATGCTGGCAGCATGCTGCCGTACAATTACTAATCTCGGACAAGTACATGCTGATTAGAACTTCACAGCTCTCAAATCTATTTGCCAGATCTCAGTAAATTGCTCCCTTTTTTAGCGGCTCTTCTTCTCTTAGGCCTATTCGCTCAACGCAATGAGGGTCATGAGCCCAATGCCAGCACACATAGCGCCAGCCTCTTTCAGTGACTGGGCTAGAGAACAGTCTTCCAGTAGCTCCGGCATGACGCTGGTACATGCAATGTAGATAAAGCCACCTGCCGTGAACGGTGAGATCCACACGGAACTCGAGTCGCCGGCGCCTTCCATGAGCAGACCGATGATCGTGCCAATCATGGCTCCAATGGCAGTCAACAGTTGCGTGATCATAGCTTCACGTCGAGTGAAACCAGACTGGATGAGGATAGCAAAGTCTCCGATCTCATGAGGCAATTCGTGCAGCAACATTGCCACCGTTGTGGTCCAGCCCGTACCGCGCAGGAAAGTGGCACCGATAGCTAAGCCGTCGGTAAAGTTATGCGAGAAATCCGCAGCCAAGTTGAGGAAACCAGCAGCTGCAATGGGCTTCTTACCCGGTTCCTTGAGTACCATCGGTTCCTCTTCAGGCATGCCCGCTTCGTCTTTGTCCTCCTTGAAAACAGTTCGCTTCCTCGCTATAGTAGTCTTGCTCGATGCCGGTGATGCCCCGCCATTCTGCACGGGCGGCGAAGGATGGGCATGTCCATGAGAATGTCCATGGCCACTTCCAGTCTGCGCCCGAACAAACTTTTCCAACATGAAGAAGGTCCACTAACGCCCGATCCTGCTGTAATCGTACCTTGCAAGTACTGAATTAGAGGTTGATTGCCGGCATTTTGGTTGGTGTTCGAGAACGTCACAATCCACTGAAAGCCTTGGACGATATTAACAGCCACGCGGGATACCTCGATGTGTCCAATAGGGACGTTAGTTAGAGATGCCAGACCCATTAGAGCGAAACGAAGATTCGCCGCTGAAACATCCATAG